GCCGGGCCTGTCCCGGTGCCCGCGGCAGGGCGGCTGCGCCCCCTGTCTCAGGCGGCTGCGAAGCGGCTCACGGTTTCCTCAGCTCAGCAGGTTGCCTTAAAGAATGTCAGCAAATAGCGAGGAAACAAATCTAGCAACTCCGATCGTTTACAGACTTACAGTTGGCTATTTGCTGATAGAAAACTGCGCAGTTTGGAGAAGTGGAAGGTGCAATCTGGGAGCAAGGGAACAGCAGTGACAAGGACCCTCTGCGGGTTTGACCCCAGGTTGCTCTTGTTCTGCTGGGTAGTCCCCGAGAGTTCAGAAGTGTCTCTAACTCTGGTTCACATCTGGTCCTTCGCGAGAAGATATAAGAACAGTTCCTGGAGACTTCTTGCACTCTAATCAGTACCCAATAGAATTTATTTCAATTGCAAAGCCGGTAGTTTAGGTGTAGTTTTATTTTAGAATTATTCAACAGTTCTGGAAATTCTTAATAAACCTATAAATGTGTGGCCCTAGCTTGTATTTTTATATTTCTGGCAATGGTGCTGTAGTTCAATACTGGATGCAAATACTTGCTTTTCCAGAGTTGACTTGTACAAGGATTACAGGGAATGTTACTTTTCTTTTTAATGAAAGCATAAGTTTTTATTTTTATTTTTTTAACCAATATCATCTGATGCAGATTTTCCGTATGCTCCCAATTCATTTTTCTTCTTGCATTAATGACCATTCTTCTACCATAGGAAAGTTTTTCCATGCATTCAGTTATTCTTGTTGCCATTCCCTATTCTGGAGTAGTCCATGCAGTTAATTTCTATTAGGGCTTCATAATGTTCTTTGTACAATTTGCTGTCTGATTACATAAACTTTTATTTATTTATTTTTGTAGGGATTGCACCTTTGGCTCCTTCTAAAGAGGAGCAATGCAGACACTTGATAAGTTTTCAGAGGATAGTTTTATTTATGGTGTTTCTCAGAAGCACATGATATAAGTGCTGCTCAGAAGTTAAGATAAAGTAGTTTTATTTATGGTATTTCTCAGAAGTACATAAGTGCTGCTCAGAAGTTAAGATAAATTTTAGAAATGGTTTAAGTAAAATTGACTAGTTGTGTTTATTTTAACACAGATACGAGAACTCAATGGGGTCAGCCAAAAATGTATTAAGTGAGCCTGTTGATGTGGAGGAAGGCTATAACATGATGGTAAGTCATTCTGCTGTTTTAACAGGTTATTAGGATTTTCCTACTGACTGCAAGCCTACAATTTTGCTATGTGTTATTGTAAAATGCATAGTGCTTGGTTAAGCTGGATTTGGCTTCTGAAGTATTTCCTAGTGATTTTGTGTTTTCCATGATGATGAACAACTGCTAAAGGTGATTCAAATACAGAAAATATTTGCACTGGTATAAAAAGAACGCCTTTTCATGAACATGTATATTTTTCTTGCAGGAACTAGTCATGCCTTTTATATGCACAGTATGTAGTTTTAAAGCAGGTGATATTCTGTGGACCTTTAGTTTTCAGAGAGGTTTAGAGAGTTTGAAGAATGATGTTGAATCACTCCACTGTTAGCTTTTTTTGTGTATATGTGTTCGAGAGCCAGTTATTGATTATACGAGATGATTATATGAATCGTAGGATAGTATAGTGTAGAATTGTAGCAGGGTGCCTAATTCCTAAAGGGACAGAAGTAGATTTGTGCCACACCACTGTTTTCCTAGGCCTGCCGTTGGGAACAGAATCAATAAAGCTTTAATACAGCTGTTACCATTCTTGTTGGAGAGAGTAACTTGCCAAGAAGCTTTTGAATGGAATTAATAAAAAGCAAGGAATGGACGCTTGAATTTATGGATTGGAGATTTGCTGCTGCGAGTTCGGAGAGACTCTTAGGACTGTATCCTCTGATGGAGACTCACTGGACTCCAGGGAGTTTCTCCCAGTACTTAATTTGTTCTGTTGTCCAAAACTGCTGGCATTCATATGTAAAACTAGGAAATGCTGCCTCTTCTGTCTCTGCATGGCTGAAGAGGAAGAGCCGTGAAAATGGCACCTTCATGTTAGGGAGAACGGTGGACAACCCGGCACAGGGAACGGCAGAGAGAAAAGCGCCCTGTGGTGGGGGCGTTCAGCACGAAGGTGGCCTGGGGTCCAGGGTGCTGCAGTAGAATTGGTGCTCATCATTTATGTACTGCTTGGTATCTCATATGTTTAGTGCTGAAAACCTTCTGCGAAGGTGGCATGTTTCCTGTCGCTATCCTGTAAGCTTGAGTAGGTTGAAAATGGTGACATTTTTGGTCTTTCTGTAAAGTGAGGGAGTAAAATTAATTGCACTGAAGTGGCGTGAAGATCATCATCTTAACATGAAATGGTACTGCGTTGAGAACACCATTTAAAAGTCTTCCCAGAGGTTAAAAGGAAAAATTAAATATGTGTCTAGTAAAGGACATTCTTCTTCATTCAGCAATCTTTTTAAAAACAGTTTGTACAATGCTTAACAGGTCATGGAAACAAAAGACCAGATCACGGTTGCACAGAAGGTGCTGTGTCTGGGATGGCCTGATATTTAACCACTTCATTTTTAAAAAAATCGAGTATTTTTTGAGAGCTTTTTTTTTTTTTTTTTTTAATAAAGCAATTATAAGGAAAAATCTTAGAAATATTAAATCAAAATATCTGAATTTCTATAAGGACATGACCTTTTAATCGCAACCTGTGTGATTGTTTATTTTCTAGTATGGAAGTCTGAAGAGCTCTGTTGTATAAAATAGAAAGTTGTAAGTGCCAGCACTTCCAGCATTGAATGGGTTTTGCCAAATTGTAAGGTATTGCTAAATAGATCTTTGTTTCAATAACAATTAATTACTTAAACAGAGGTTTGCCTTGGTGCTGATCATGCACAAGTGATCTCTGAAAAACTAATTCTGAGCCGTTTGGCACTCTGTGTACAGTTTAATTAGGGCCGTGAATGTGTTCCTTTATTTCTGTCCCAAAATACTTCTGATAACTATGAATGATTGGTCCAAGTTTAATTTAAAAATGGTGAAAGAGCAAGCCAGTTTACGAAGACTGGGTATGGATTTGAGCTCTTCTTTTAAGCAATTTGTTCTAATAGATTTTATTACTTTACAAGGTATTTTAAAAATATTTTTGCCAAGATATAAATACTGTATTAAAAATACTTGCAGGAACATAAGCTGCCTGTAAGATCTTAAAGTCTACCTAAGAAAAGTAATTGTACCATGAAAAAAAAAGTATTTATTTACTTGAAATGTAAGTGGAGAAATTATTTTTCTTTTAAATGCAGTCTGAACAGTCTTATTTTGTTTGTCAGCCACATTTCAGAGATAATTAAGTTAAATGAAATTTGACTTGATCCTGAAGGGGGGTTTGTACAGTCTTTTAAATAGATTTAAAATTAGTTGTGACATTTGTGAATCTTTAGCTCTTAGATTTATTATAAAAAGTGTATCGTTACGCAAAAAGGCAATAAAAACAAATTTGGTTCAATGGACTAGGCTAAACTGAGCTATAGGGACAGACTAGAATCACTTTAGAATACATTGTGCTGATTAATGTGCTTTACTTTTCTGATTAATGTGCTTTACTTTTTTTTAATATTTATTAGCTTTTCAAAAATTTACCTGTACAGCTGTGCTTTTTTTTTTTTAGCTTCATTGTATTGCATGTTATTAAGTGTAGGTAATTCTCTGTGGAGCACTAGATGGCACACTGTGGCTTTGAAACAAGCAGTTGAGGACATTTGGATTAGATAAATTTAGGTTAAATATTATTAAATAAACATTCAAATAAAAGTAGTTTTTTATTTTTATTGCTACCACCCTGATAAATTGCAGACACTCATCTGCTATATTCATTTTTAATGTATTTACTTTCTAAAGATATGCTGGTACTTAAACACAAAGTGTTTACAGGTTTAATACATCAGTAAGAACAAAAAAGAGAAAAACGTGTCTTCTGATTAGTGCTATGGAAAATCAGTTTGTTAATGCCTAAAATAATGTTTAGATTAATGTAACTTCTTTATAATTTCTCTCTGCTCAAAGATACCTAGGTCAGCAGTTTTGGCAGCATCACAATATGTGGCTTTAACATTATCGTGTAGAGCTTGGCTTTGTTTCAGATTATGTTCTGGGGAGCTGCCTGTAAAGAGGCAAGCCTTTAATCAACATCTGTCAGCTGATACAATTATTTCCTTATTATTACGTATGTACATTTTTGATTTTTGTAATGGCATATTTTGCACATGCAAAGAAATATGTTTGCTAGGTAAATGAAATTCATTCTCCTCGGCACTTATTCCTCCTTTCACACCTGCAACTTTCTAGTACTACTGGTTGCCAGGAATTACTTTCTGTATTCTCACTGAAAAACAGGTGAGCTTTTTCTTAGTATTTCAGATGGTTGTGATAAATCCCATGCCTTTCTCCAGACTTTGTGCAGTCACCTAACATATGTATTTTGATTCTTGCAGCTTTTATCATGATTAATTGATTTTA